TGCAATATTTAGAAAAAATAACATCCTTCTGTCTAATCCAGTTGTCCATGCACTAGTTTTCCTATCCTGACTACTGCAAATGTCTGCTATGCTATTCTCTCTCCACTGCAGTTCAGTCCATCTAAAATACTGCTAACAAGTAATTTTACTTTCCCAGAGCTCAAAGTCTTCCTCCCCAACTTTATTCCTAATCCCACATAATATTCAAACCTTTACCTTACAAGGCACTCCATATCTCCTCCTTCTGCAAACAATTCTATCCTCATTTCCTTCACTACACCTCTCTCTTTCTTCATTCTCAGCTCTGCATCTTCTTGCCCACCATATCTACATTTAGAACATCAGTCTCTCCCTTTCCAAAACCTTTAAACATAAGCTTTTTCTACAAGGGCTTTTTCCCTGCACTTATGGCTACCATCTTCCCTGCTTTTTCCAAGGCCTGGCCTACACCTAAACTTATGTTAACCTAGCTACAACACTCAAGGTTGTGAAAAATTCACACCTTGAAAGATATCCTTGTGACGACCTAAGCCCCAATATAGACATCGCTAGGTCCACAGAAGATTTCTTCCATATACCCAGCTACTGCCTCTCTAGGAAAGGAGAAGGAATTGGGTGGGTAATAAAATGGTGGTGATTTACCAGGGTTAGCCCCTGGAGGGCTAGTGTCAATGTATTTACCTGTGTCTCCACAGGTACAGGCGATTGCAACTCCTGTTGGCCACGGATACCTGTTCCTAGCCAATGGGAGCTTCAGGAAGCAACTGGGACACCGCATACTACAGTTCCCATTCGCCAGGAATGGTGATCCGCAGCCAATGGGAGCCGCAATCACCTATACCTGTGAAGGCACAGATAAACATAGTGGCACCAGTCCTCCAGAGGCTAACCTGGCAAACTGGATCCATCCCACCCTGTCCTATAGTAATAGAAAAACCTCTTTCACTGTTGTAGCAAATGTCTGCATGACAGGAGTACAGCTGAAACTGTGCCTCTGTACAATTAATCAGACATCTTAATACTCCGTACTGTATTTTGAATGATTGTGTAACACAGCTCTCCTACAAAACTGCTCAATATACATTTAGGTCACCACACAAACAACTGTTACACCAAACTATTAAAAATGTATGGATTTACCGGTATGGAAATGTAAGCTTTCCTAAAACAGCTAATCAGTAATACAGTACATCCAAGAAAGGACAAAACTCCAAAAGTATTATCTAAAAAAGGAAGAAATTGAGCTTTTAAGAGAGATGTTTATTCTACTGCTCACAGACAGGGAGGAGAAGGGAAAACACAAGGGCTGCGTCTAGATTGGCATGATTTTCCGGAAATGCTTTTAACGAAAAAGTTTTCCGTTAATAGCATTTTCGGAACAGAGCGTCTAGATTGGCACAGATGCTTTTCCTCAAAAACACTTTTTCCGGAAAAGCGTCCATGCCAACCTAGACGCGCTTTTCCACAAAAAAGCCCCAATCACCATTTTCACGATCGGGGCTTTTTTGCGGAAAACAAATCTGAGCTGTCTACACTGGCCTTTTTGCGCAAAAGCTTTGTGCAAAAGGGACTTTTGCCCGAACGGGAGCAGAATAGTATTTCCGCAAGAAGCACGGATTTCTTACGTAGGAAGTCATTGCTTTTGCGGAAATTCAAGTGGCCAGTGTAGACAGCTGGCAAGTTTTTCTGGAAAAGTGGCTGATTTTCCGGAAAAACTGGCCGGTCTAGACACAGCCAAGGAAAAAGAAATGTTTAGCTGTGGAGAGTTCTGAGGACTGGAGTGCAACAAATTTATCCTAGTGAAATTCCACTGAACATGTGGGCCCAGTACATGCAGAGTGTGACACAACTCTGACCTTTAAGTGGATGGTCAGTCCACATTGCTCAAGGTTGAAATCTGAACCAGCATTTTGCACCTTGATTATTCAGTTTATGAATGCAACTTATAATTAGAGATATTTCCCAGGCTACCACTTCCTTAACTTTCAAAAGCGCTATATTCACAGAATGTTACAGTATACAGTATTAGCAAGGGCAGTTAACAGCAAAACCTTTTATCTTCAAGCATGTGCAAAAACTGTTGATAATACATTGAGCAGGGCATTTCTTTCTTTTTTTTTTTTTTTACTGAAAAAAGAAACTAACCTTCTGCTCTTTATTTAAAATAAATTGTATTTTGGGGTACAGCTTGTAAAAGATACCCAATATTAATTTAGCCCCTCACCAATCATGCTTTCCGGTATGTTTTACAACATTCTTTTAGTTCTGTGACTGTCGAGCCTTCATTTTGTGATGCAATATCTTTCTGAAAGTGTGCTACTTTAGGACTTAACATTATTATACACTTGTAGAATGATATTACTCAATGAATCTGAACAGAAACTCTAGCTTTACAAAAGCTACTCTGAACCTAGTTTACTCTGCCACTTAAACAACGCAACTTAATAAATCCGAGATGAAACTACCTAGTAAAATTGAACACTACAACTAGTTTGTCTGCTACATAAACGCATCCTGTTATGAACTTATAGGCAAAGTGTATATCATATAATATTGTATTTTTTAAAAGGTAAAAGAGTTCTTTAACATACAATTATACGGAGACACTTAAGTCATCAAAACATCTTATTTGCTAACAGGAATCATTCCAGGGAAGAAATTCTATTGACACACATTATGTTCGCAACATAATTGATTTGACACACATTTAACTGAGTGAACAGTCAGTACTCCACTAGTAAAGCAAGCCTAAACAACAGCAATTTGTTCTGGAAGTACTTACTTCTGATGAGGTCACCATCAGTGCTATTTCCCCAGACAGACTGGTCTTGCATCTCTGACTGTATGCTTTGGTTATTGGGAGGTGCTGTTAAGTCTCTCTCTCCCGCAGCTGTATTCTCTGTATCACATTTTTCTAAATAAATTAAAAAAAAAATTTATTTTCAAATCACTGATCTATGAACACATTTTAAAAGCTTCTTAATTAAATTAATTAATATAAGTTTACAAAACAGTGATAAATATTGTTACTTTTCCCTTTTAAATAATGCACAATAAAAGGGAATTTTCAACCAGTTTTCCCATCATTTTTGCTAATCTAATCTGAATAGTTCTTTAATGAAAGTCTTTCATTGGGCTTGCATTTACATGCAAACACATCTTAAAAGATAGTTTATGGCAAACTCTGTTTGGAATTTAGCAAAGTTTATTTACCTTCCAAAACAACATTAAACTTCTAAACGACACACAAAATCCAGTATTTTTGCCCATGCAGATGTGCATCTCGTGTGCAAACTACTTGCTATATGGGAATTTCACAAAAAACTACAGAAACTGTGCCAAAGGTCTAAAATTCAACATATGACTAAGGACTTATGTAAACTAGTAGCCAAAACAGATGGAGACAAAAATCCCATGGTAACAGAATTTTCAGTTATTGTTTTGGGGGTTTTTTAAGATATGAAAAGTCACTGTTGAATTAAAATAAAATTCTAACCACATTTACAAAATGATTTTAAACATGCTCCAAAACTATGAAAGCTTGCTCTAGGGTATTGCCCAAAAGATTTGTAAACCTTCTTTACAAGTACTATGGAATTGTTCACATGTAGTTTCCCT